CGAGTAGTAAACTTCAATCCATTTTCAAAATAAACGGATATGCGATGCTTTGTTCCAACTTAGGCAATTCAGTCTATACTTGTATGTTGTGCGCATCACATAGTAATTCTAGGCTAATAAACTGGAATAAGAGCACATAATGCTTTCAAAACTCGATATCATGGTTAGTAGAGGCCGATCTTTGATCGGACGAGCGGGGGTGCTCACGAAGTGACCTTCCCCAACCGTATCCAAGTTCCTAAGCCGAGGCAACTTTGGTGATGACGGACACGTGGCCTTAGACACAAGTCAGGGTTTCCTAAATTCTCCCAAAATAAAATATTTAGGTGGCGACTCTATATCTGGCAAAGCAGTCCATGTTTGGCACTTTTTTCTAAAAATCAGTTTTTCAAAATGATTTGCCGGATTTGGGCTCTTTAATGATTCATCGGTCTTGCATTGCACTCCGCGAGATTAGATACAGGACCGTGACAGTGAGTCTGAACTGTAGTAAGCCCCAATGAACAAAACAAGATTCCCTCCCGGGACGTTCGGGGAACGCCTACAAGCTTCATATGGTAAAGTGGGAGGAGATCACCATGAAGAAAAGTTTGGGAGGACTGGGTATTAAAAGGTTGATGGATTTTAATGAGTGTCTTCTAGCTAAATGGTGGTGGAGATATGGAATTGAAGATAGGGTATTGTGGAAAGATATTGTGATTAATAAGTATGGCAGCTTTGGTGGGAGATAGAGACTATTCTTGGTAAATGGTGCCCAGTGCTCAAAAATCTGGGGAGATATACTTAGTCTGGAACACAACAACCCCAATTTGTGGAATTTTTTCATGGATAATTCTATCTATCAAGTTGGGAATGGGATGAGGGTTAGTTTTTGGGAGGATCCATGGGTATCTAACAGATGTTTAAAGGATGAGTTTTCCAGACTCTGTGACCTATTAGCAGACAAAGAAGTTAATCTTAAACAGATGATTGACAGGAGAAGTAGATTAGTTGGGTGGTTCTTTAATTTTAGGAGAAGTCTGAGGGCTTGGGAGGATGATGAAGTGGAAAGACTAAGATCCTATCTTACTTCACTTGGGCCCATTTTATCAGATAGAGATGATTCTCTAGTTTGGAATGCCTCATCTTCAGGTATGTTCACTGTAAATTCAGCTTACAATAGGAATGATGTGGGTCAAGGTTTGGGGTTAGCTAGGTGGATCTGGAACAGTATTTTCCCCACCAAAAGTGTAATTCTTTGGATGGCTCGCTTGGAAGGGTAGAATTAAAACAAGAGCTTTTCTTTAAAAGGTGGGATGCCTCAATGAGAATGCTATGACAGAGTGTGTTTTCTGTGGCTGTGATGTTGAAATAGATAGTCATGTATTGTTGCAGTGCCAGTTTTCTTGGAAGATATGGACAAATATTCTGAATTGGTGGGGTATGCAATGGGTGGTCCTTGAAAATGCTAAAGGTGTGATGGACTGGTGGAAAGGGATCAGATGGAGTAAGCTAGAAACTAAAATCTGGGATGTAATTCTGTTTGCAGTTCTCTGGTCCATTTGGACTCTGAGAAATGACTGCATATTTAATGGTAAGTAACATATTTTGGAGGAGGCCTGCGACCTGATTAAGCTTAGAGTAGCACTGTGGATCAAAGCCAAAATTAGTGAGTTGTAGTACTCTGTACATGATGTGGTGGAAAATTTGCAACAGGTTAGGTACTCATTACATTGAACTCTTGAAGTCTTGGATTTTGGTGTTTAGGATGCTGGACATTAAGTGGGAACATTGTTATGACTGTTGTGTTGCTGCTGTGCTTGTACCTCACCAACATTGAGAGATGGTGGAGCTATTAAAAGTTATAATTGCTTTATGGGTTAGTCAAACACTAAGGGAGTGAATTACTCAGTGTTTGAGATTGTGGCAAACTTGAAGTAGGTTTGATACTGTTTTGGCCTGTTGTATGCTGCTGTTTTGGCCTGCTGTATGCTATTGCTATTTGTTGTTGTTCAGTGGTCTGCTGTTGTAAGCTACTGTAGGAGACTATTCTAGTCTGTGCAGCTTTTACGAGGTTGGCCCCGGTGAAAAGCTGCTTTAGCTGCTGTTCGAAGCTCAATGGTTTGGAGCTGGTGAAGAAGTATGTTGATTGTTTGTTTTGGCTGTGTTGTTGTTTTGTTTTTTTGGCTTTGGTTGCACTTGATTGGCTTCTCACCAATCTTGGGTCAAGTGCTTGCAAATGATTGTGCTTCCTTGGCGGAGCCAACCTAGCTGGAATTGTGGAGGTTAGCTATAATGCTTAGTGTACTTTCCTGATTTGTTGATGTAATTGTGCATGTACTTTGCTTTTTTTCATCAATAAATCTTTTATTTTGCTGATTAAAAAAAAAAGTGTAAGAAAAACATAACTCTCAAGTAATAAAATGCAATTTTTTTTTTTTTTTTTTTTGGGGAGAAATGTTGGAGATCCCAATTTAAACCCCTAAAATCACTCACAATGATGTGACAAGATAATGGGGGCCTATATAATTGAGTGTATGACAAATTAAAAGTTGACACCTATCATGTCATATCATTGTGGGTGAAATTGGGAGAGTTCTTTTACGTTGCGTTTGGTTGAGAAATTTAAGAAGATATTTGGAAAAAGAAAGGAAAAAGATAGGTGAAATATAAATAAAACATACCTACATTTTACCTAGTTTCACATACTTTTTTCTTTTTTCTTTCTAAATCCCTTCCCAAATCTCTCAACCAAACACAACGTTAGGGATTTCAAACATTTTTCTTTTTTTCTTTTTACAACAAGTCAACCATACAATATTTTTTTAGATTTGTTCTGAATCTAAACCATTCATCACCAATTTTCGTTAAATAAAATCAATGAAAAAAATGATATTCTAGCAATTAAATTCAATGTAGACTAAAATATCATTTTTTCGTCGATTTTTGCTTAACGAAAATAGATGAATAGTTTAATTGAGAACAAATAAAATTCTAAGATTTAAATTGATAAAATTAAAAATTCAATATTTATTTTGTTACAATGGTCAAAGTCTTGGAGTTTTTTTTATTATTATATAATTTTTCCTAAAAAATAATTACAAACATGTGGGGGTGTAACTCTTTTGGTATAATAAAACACACCAAAAATTACACACTAAATGATTCTCACCTTTTAGTAAATAATTGTCCCACTTCCAACTTAATGGCAATTTTTCTTAATGTTGTGTTTGGTTGGGAGATTTGAAAAAAATAAAAAAATAAAAAGGAAAAGGGAAAAAGTAGGAAAAATATAAATGTAATATACCTACATTTCACCTAATTTTATACACCGTTTTTATTTCTTTTTTTAAATCCTTTCCCAAATCTCCTAACTAAACACAGTGTAAAAATAACTAGCATCGAAGTCAATTTTGTCTTTTGTTGTCAATTTTCCATAATTAATCATAGCCTATACATCGGCACAGAGGATTCCTACCTAATTTTGCAGTTTATTATCAATAACAAAAATTGAACCTTGATCACTTGCTCTAATGAATCACACAATCAAAATAAAGATCAGGGCACTTTGAATCAAATTTCACTTTGACCAATACACATGAAATCATAACAATCAACTTCCTACATTTCTGATCAAATCTCACTTTGATCCTTGCACATGAAATTGTTACAATCAACTTCCTGTACTTTTAATCAAATCTTACTTTAATCCCTATACAAGTGTCAATGTCCCATTTTTATTACTCAATTGTTTAAAAGTTTAACATAATCTAGTCATGTGATGCGAATGTAATTACGACATGAGGGTAAGAAAGAAAAACCATCTACATTTTTCACCAATACACACTTTATCCTAAAATTTATATCAAAATATGATTGTATTAGGTTAAAATAAAACATAGATTGTGAACAATAAAGAAGATAAACTAGCATTTTGCATAAATTGAAATCACAAAACTCTGTTTTTTACGGTAAAATAGTCTTCTGTCTATCCATCTTTCTTTCTCGTTGATTTCTTTGCAGCATTTTTTTTATTTTTTTAATTTCAAAAGCTCTACTTTCTTACCTTTTTGTCTTAATTTTTACCATACGAACATATATATATATATATATATATATTGTATGGGTAAATTACAATTTGTACCCTTACACTTTACACAAAATCTCACTTTAGTCCCTACACATCAAATTGTGACACTTAACCCCTTGCACTTTTGGTCAAATGTCACATTGGCCCTTCTGTTAATAGCGAGGCTAACAGAACTAATCATTTAGGGAGCTAAGTGTCACAATTTTGATGTGTAGGGACTAAAGTGAGTTTTGTGTGAAGTGCAAGGGTGCAAAGTGTAATTTATCCTCACATGTCTTTTCATGTGACTAACCTCGGTTAACAATGATGCTAACAGAAGGGCCAAAGTGACACTTGACCAAAAGTGCAGGGGGTTAAGTGTCACAATTTGATGTGTAGGGGCCAAAGTGGGATTTGATGTAAAGTGCATGGGTGCAAAGATTTTGTATCATATAACTCGTATGTGCTTATTACGTGGGACAAAGTGTATTGGTGGGAAACATTGATGATTTTTCTCTTTTAACCTCATTTCGTAGTCACATTTTTGTCACATGATTGAATTTTATTAGATTTAAAAATGAAGTAACAGAAGAGGGACATTGACACTTGTGTAAGGACCAAAGTGGGATTTCAGTTTCATGTGTAGGGACAAAAGTGAGATTTGACTAGAAGTGTAAGGGGTTAACTGTTATGATTACATGTGTAAGGGGCCAACGTAAGATTTGGTGCGAAGTGAGATTTGATGCGAAGCGTAAGGGTGGAAAAGTGTAATTTACCCTAAAGAACAAATATAACATATTATAATTACAGAGAAATTCTCAAAGAGAAAAATAATAAACAAACACAAGTAAAGTAAAACAGGCCCCTAGTAAAAAGATTAGAGCTTTGAGCATTGCTAATAAATCACAATCATAATAAAGATTAAATGTCACAAACTATTATTACAACGAAATTCTCAAAACGAGAGAAAAATCTCAAGCAAATATAGTAGTATAAAGTACATACCACAATAAAAAGGTTCGAACCCCATAGTTCATTTCATTAAAATGTGAATTGAGAAATTCACATTATCTACTTTGGTTGGTTCTAACCAACCAATTATTGGAGAGTAAAAGGATTCAAACCCTTGACCACTTACTAAATGGAGTTCATTAAAATGTGAACTAAGAGATTCACATTATCTACTTGGGATGGTGATAACCAACCAATTATTCAAGCATACGGATGATTGAGAGACAATGAAGAACACAAAATGACACAAAATGAGAGTTAAATAGAAAGATCAGACCCTTCAAACTTCACACGTGTGATTTCATCAAGCTTATCTTTCATCTCCATTGATAGCTTATTCTTCCAATCTCCCACAAGACCAAGCCTAAAGTAAGAGCTCTTAGGAAAACCAGACCATGGATCCACACCATCTCTGTTCACTTCCAAGTTCTTCAGCCTCTCTATACTACACCGTTGCACAATCTTCTCGGCCTTGCCATCGTTAGCCAAAGGCCGGCCGAGGAAGGAAGCCAACTTCAAGACTTCCCCTTTCGGCTCTCTCTTCAAGTCTTCATATTTCAAGAACAATATCTATTGAAAATATAAATAATAAAGTTATTTTTAAGTTATTAGATGTGTTAGTGGATAATAATTTAACGTAGAGACCAATTAAAACTATAAAGACTAAAATGACACAATGGGCAAAACTATAGGGACTATCAACAGAATTTATCCAAAAAAAATGGGGTAAGAATAATTTTAAAAATAGACAATTTATATTTTCAAAGACATATAATAACATGATTTGGCTACAATCATTGGATCAATCTGAATTTTTCATGTAATATTTGTTGGAACATTTTCAGAATATATTTATATATATTTAAATATATAATATAGTTATATAAATGATTAAAGAGATGTGACTTTTGGGTTTGAGCCAAAGGGTGTAACCATTGAGTTTAAACAAAAAGGTGTGTCTTTTGGATTTAAACCATGGGGTGTAACTATTGGATTTAAATCAAAAGACATGACTTTTAGATTTAAAGGGTATCACTTTTGAATTTAAAAGACATGACCTTTGCTCTAAGGGACACAAACCCAAGCCTATATAAAGGCAGAATGAATTAGAAATTGGATAGAGATCATCCATATGAAATCCATAGAATATCCATGAAATTTCTCTCCAACATTCATATTGTTATTTTCCTCTATACATGGTGGATTAGAAAACTCCAAAAGTATTTGGGATCTGATTTCGTTTGTACATAACGCAGTCAAACATCAGTCTTTAGACTAGGCTTCATTGTATTCTAGAGGCAAATTCACGGGTAATCCGGTGCACACCATATTTGACAAAATTGGTGGGGGCGAATATTGTCTTAAGGAAAGCGATGTTGTAACGCGCCTTAAAACAATGTTAATTATTTTCTGTTTTGTCTCTTTTCATCTCATTAACCAAGTTTGCACCAACACTATTTATTCGTAGAGACCTACAAAATGCATGGATCAAATTATTGGAATGACAACCATAATGATCTCATAGGCTCAATTGTATTGTTAGTAAACATTTGTATTGTTAGTAAACATTTGTAAACTATATCGGTCTAGGTCATGCTCGTAAGCCCACCACGAGTCCTTTTTGATTTCTTCCTCGATACATAGGGCGAAGCTAGGATTTCTCCTGTGGGGAGGGGGGTCATTTTGCCAAAGAGAAGGCATAGGATAAATCTATTGAGCCGTTGATGGATTCGTTGGAGTTTTATTTGATTAAATTATTATTAAATATTACTCAATAGAGGTCAATTGGACCGATAAAATTATAAGATATTAGTCCTAATTAAATATTATTTGTATAAATTTTATGGTTAAGGACGTCAAAATGTGAGAATTTATAGATAAATGTTAAGGTAATATTTGGTACTAGTTAAAAAAATCTTAATGTAATTAATCTATTATACAATATCCTTAGGTACATAAAATTTTACAAGTGATTCCATAAAATACATTATAGAAACTCACAAATAAATTATATTGTTTTTAACATGGACCGGATTAAATTTTTTCAATAATGTCATAATTTTTTTTTTTTAACTACAATAATGTTAGAATGATCATTTTTTCTTTTTACCACAATTTGTTTATTACCTTAATCACTCATATTTGATACTAATATAGCATTGACACATAAGAGGATAGACAATACATAATAAGAAAATATGATCACCAAAACATTATTGTAAATGTTTTCTTTGAAAGATAACTCTACTATATTAGGGTTTTTACAATTTTTTTTGAATGTTAGATTGAAATTAGGAGAAACCATTATGTAATACAATAATATAAAAAAAAATTGAAAAAATCATACATATAGAATGAAGATTTTATAGTTAAAAAAATCTTAATATAATTAATCTATTATACAATATTCTTAGGTACATAAAGTTTTACAAGTGATTTCATTAAATACATTATAGAAACTCACAAATAAACTATATTGTTTTTAACATGGATCGGATTAAATTTTTTCAATAATGTTATAAAATATTTTTTTTTTGAACTACAATAACGTTAGAATGATCATCTTTTTTATCACAATGTATTTATTACCTTAACTACTCATATTGGATACTCATATAGCACTGACATATAAGAGGATAAACAATATATAATAAGAAAATATGATCATCAAAGCATTATTATAAATGTTCTTTAAAAGATAACTCTACTATATTAGGATTTTTACAATTTTTTTTTGAATGTTAGATTGAAATTAGGTGAAGCAATTATGTAATATATATAAAAAAAAATAAAAATAAATAAATAAATAAAAATTGACAAAAACATACATATAGCATGAAGATTTTCTTCCTCCCAATATCTTTAGGTACATAAAGTTTTACAAGTGATTTCATTAAATACATTATAGAAACTCACAAATAAACTATATTGTTTTTAACATGAATTGGATTAAATTTTTTCAATAATATTATAATTTTTTTTTTGAACTACAATAATGTTAGAATGATCATCTTTTTTACCACAATATATTTATTACCTTAACTACTCATATTTGATACTCATATAGTACTGATATATAAGAGGATAAACTACATATAATAAGAAAATATGATCATCAAAACATTATTATAAATGTTTTCTTTAAAAATAACTCTATTATATTAGGATTTTTACAATATTAGCTGCTGGGGCCACATATCTCCACATACTCAAATTGGATCCATCAATTCCGCTAAATGCCAATTGCAATAATAAAATTCGGATAAATTACATATTAGTCCTTGTAATTTAGGTAAAATTCTACATTGGTGCTCATAATTTTAATTTCGTCAATTTTAACCCTCCACTAACTTTTTTTTTCCCTTCAATTTAGTCCCCTTGTTAAAATCCATTAAAAGTGCTGATGGAAGATGTCCACCATGCCATTTTTTGAAACATAAATAAAAATAAAAGGTTAAAATTAATACAATTAAAATTACAGAAATTAAAGTAAAATTTTCTTGAAATGGACTAATGGAACAAATTTACCGATAAAATTACCTCTATTTAAAAAACGAAATAAAATTGAGATGAGTTGGTGGAGTACCTTTTTAGGACTCTTTAAGCTCGCATTCCAGAATTGAAGAACATGTTCATGGAAAGACCCAAAGGAATGAAAACCATTGCAGAAGCTCTTGAAGGCATCGTCGAATGGAAATGGGCCTTGCTCGGGCGATCTCTGGGTGTTCGTGAAGTGCCACAACGACACAAACACGTCCTTAGGATCTCTAGTTATATACACAATCTTACAGCTTGAGGTCTTGAGGTCTTGATTGATTTTGATTCTGGTAAGAGAGAGTATGAGACATAGGTTTGGAAGAGCCGTGGAGAGGCCATGTTTGGCAGATCTAACTTTCCATTTTTTCTGCAAACCTGTAAAAGAAAATGACATACAAATAAAGATGGGGAAATTACTTGTCAGTGCATGGCTAAAAAAGTATTTTCAAAGTAGTAATATTTTTGTATAAATATTAATATGTAAAATTATAATTTTTCCATGATTTTGTAATTAAATTTTAAAGACATCACTAACAAGGAATTTTTCCAATAAAAATTTCATACGTAATTTTCAGTAAAAATGATGTGATATTGATAATTTTTAAATTATAAATCTTAGTGCTGGATCTTCCCTTTTGAAATAATGAAATCTTAATTTATACAAAATAATCTATTGGGACAGGCTGCTGTTGGGCTTTGTCTCCTATCATACTTTGAAGATTTGAATAACTTATTTTTGCATAATTGCACATATAAATTATTTATGTAAAAAATTATATTAATTTGATACTCATAATTACAAGGTTTGATGATATTTGTCTACAAAAAATGTCAATTTTTAGCTCTGGTATCATTTTGGTTCGTATATTTTTAGCTTTCGTTTTGGAAGAATTTTTTTAGCCTAATTTTTTGATTTTTTTTTTTTTGCTAATTTAGCATGGCTAAATTAATTCAGTTTAGAAAGAACTTTTTAGTTTTTTTGACTTTTTTTGCTTTTTTAGAAAGAAAAAAAGTGAAATAATTAGAATTTAGACGTAACATTTTATCTTATTGATTTATGTAGTCTATTTTGTCTTTTTGTGCCTTTTTAATCCTAACCTAAGCCCAACTCACTTGCTAATTGACTCAATTTTGACTTTTAATTTTACATTTTTATCAATTTGATTAAATTGATAACGTCTTTAGGATTTTTGATGAAAAATGGTCACTGAGTTGATAAAGGTTAACTTACTAAATTGATTATGTTTATAATTTTATTTTTTAAAATATGACACATACAGCTTATGTCAATATTTTTTATTAAAAAAATATTAACAGATGTAACTAATTGGATCAAATTAAGACAAAATAATAAATTTAAAATCAAAATTGGGTCGATCAAAATTACAGAATTCAAAATGACGCAATAGTCAAAATAAAGAGACAACTAATATAATTTATCCAAAAATAACAACAATGATAATTCTAAAAATAAACCGTTCATTTTCTTTACAAACAAAACTGCTAAAATCATGATTTATATTTTTTAGATTGAGTTATGCTTGAGACCCTAAATAATTTACTAAATTTTCTATCAAGCCTCTCACATGAATGTGAGACCACATATGTGAATTATATGGATCTCACACTCATATAAGAGGTTTGATAAAAAATTTAATAGATTATTTGGGGTGTATTGCATTTTCTTTTTTAGATTAATCCGATTTTTTTTTTAAATTTTTTTTTTTATGATCATCAAAATCCGCACATGATATGTCTCATAAAACCCAATAGCTTAGCACCTCTGGTAATGGAGAGAATCTCATATCCAATTCTTAATTTATTTGTATATCATTACTCTAACCTGTAGTTCTAAAGACGGCACGAGGTCGTTGGGGTGGTGGTATCTCAAGGGATCATCTGCATCCTCATCATCTTCATCGCCGCCTTCGCAGTCACCACCACCATCACCACCACCGCGGTGGATGATGGAGGCAACAAGGGCCTTGAGCCAAGTGGAGCCAGTCTTGGGGGAGGCGGCTACGAAAACGTCGTCATGGAGCGCGGTGAAGCTTGATTTGGCAGCCATGGCTGCTTCCAGAACAATATCATGGTACCAGAAGCCCTCCCATTGGTAGAGATCAACAAGTCCCCACCAATTCAACTTGGGAAGGCCAGTGAAAGGAGATGAAATAGTAGTAGTACAAGTAGTGTTTGGTGGATTGGGTTTGGAGGTTGCCATTGAAAGTGAAAATTGTGCAAGAAAATGCAAAATAGTTTTTTACTTTCTTAGGTTTTGCAGCAAGTGAACCCCCAAGATGGAATTACCCAAAAAAACCCCCCCAACATGGAAATTGCTCGGAAACATGGTCACTTTATAGATATAAGAAAATGATAGTGGTGGCTTCTCCACCGTCCTTGATCAAATTGAAGAGATATTTGGCTTATTGGGTTCACTTTTTAAGTCTTATTTAACTATTCAAATTATTCATATTTTAAAATTTGTCAAGTATATCATCCATACAAAAAATCTAATCAATCGGATGACGGCAACTAGATATACACTGGAGGGTATTGTTCGACCCATGGGCTCTATTACAGATCTCGTTTCTATTATCCGAATTGTTCATTTTGTAAAATTGTTTGTATATGTGAGAGGGGGATTTTCGTAATCTCGGCTTGGGCCGAGGTTTTGGCCGGGCTGAATGTGGTCCAATCGTATTTGGGTCGAGCTGGGTTGGGCCGAGCCGTGGTGAAGCTTGCTCGGCTGAAGTCCAGACCAGAGTTGGCTGAGAAGATCCTCTGCCAGCTTGTCTTCTCTTGTTCGCTCTTTTTTTCGGTGATCGTGATCTGCCGTAGACCGGCCTAACTTGTCTGGAGCACAGTCGCACCGGAGTGCTGCTGAGCTCGGTTGTGATGGAGCTTGGTGAGTGGCACTGTTGAGCTCGATAAGTAGCTCGGTCGAAGGAGGCTGAGATGATTGTCTGCCAATCTAGGTCTTATGGTCGCGCATGTAGCTCGGCGGAAGGTCTCCCTTGGACCGGCCTAACCTGTCTGGAGCTCGGCCGTACTGGGGTGCTACGGAGCTCAGTTGTGATGGAGCTCAGCGAGTGACATTGTTAGGCTCGATAAGTAGCTCGGTCGAAGGAGGCTGGGTGATGCTGCCGGGCTGCCGAGTTCCCGCTAATGTTGTCTGGCGGTTTGGTTAAGTGGTGTTCGCTGGATTTGTGCTGACGGATGGGAAAGCAGCACCACGTGTCAAGAGACTAACGGGAGCAGATTTAAAGTGCAGAGAGTATATAAGCTTGACTGCGCCCCCCATGCTGGGGATGGATCGTTTTGTAAGAAACACTTGAACGATCAACTCTCTCCTCTCTCTCTCTCTATATATCCCTGAGTGTGTGCTAACTTGACCGTCGGAGGGATTTTCCGGCCACACACCGCCGGGTAGCTCACCGCCGTTATGTTCGTAGGTCGATCGGACAGACGAGGAGCTTGGTAGAAAGGAGTATGGGCGTGCCAGAATATTTGCTTCCTGTACAATTGGCGCCGTCTGTGGGAATCTTGATAGACAAAACCTTGTCTTCCAAGCTCATTTGATTGCCTCCCATGGCGAACAACGACGAGATACCGTTGTCGACCATCGACGGAGTTACCCCGGAATCAACCAGACGGAGAGACGGACTCCCCGCCATTCCTCCCATGGCGGACCTGGAGACTTCCCCAGGAGGACATTCAAGAGACGCATGGTATAAGCGCGGAAGAAGTTTCGGTCATTCTCGGAGCCCAGACGGACATCGGCGGCGGAGAGAATCACACGCCAGACGTCTGGAGCACAAGTTGAGGGACCAAGATGCCGTCATCCGAAGAATGGGGGCAGAGATGGAAGATCTCTAGCGGCATGTCAAAGGGAAGGGTGTTGCTGGAGTGGGAGACCACAGTGAGCGCACCAAACCACGCTGTTCAGGCAGTCAGAGCTAAAGACACACTCCCTCTGTTTCGATCACCAGAAGTTACAGGGTTGGAGATTCCGACGCGCCTATAGAGAAGTCAAGCGCGCAAAATAGTACCTACATTCCCTCACGTCCGGCGATGATGTCGAGGTATTCCTACTCCGCTCATTCAGAGGATTTGCAGGTAGTTTTGAAAGAGCAGGCTCGCTGGCGAGAGAACCAAAGGGTGCCGGCGTTCCAGCGGCTATCTTATGGGGGTCACGCTAGTGAAGAAGTCCTAATGCCACCATCGCGCCCAGCTGAGCCCCTCATTCTAGACACAGATTTGGCGAGGCTGAATGCCACTCCCTTCTCCCTGGAGATAGATATCGCACCGCTCCCAACGGGCTTTCACTGTCCCAAATTTATGCTCTACGACGGAAAGACCGATCCATACATGCATGTAAGTCACTTCCGACATGTCATGGTCGGACATAGGCGGAATGACGCTCTTATGTACCTTACCTTCCCGTCGAGCTTGGGTGAGCTGGGCTTGAAATAGTTTGAGAGGCTACCGGAGGGAAGCATCGAAAGGTGGCAGCAGTTGGCGGAAGCATTTGTGGCTCGTTTCAAGACCAACACCAAAACGCCAAAGGAGGTGGACCACCTTCTCAGTGTCAAAATGGAGTTGAGCGACACACTCAAGGCATATAACTCCGGATACTGGGAAACCTTCAACGAGATTTTAGATTGCCCGATCAACCTGGCAATCACCCAATATAAGCGTGGTCTCCAGGTCGGACATAAGCTGCAGGACTCACTTACCATGAACCAGCCGACATCCATGGGCCAACTAATGCAGTGCATCAATGAGCACATCCGAGTCGAAGACGACGTAGCCGCAGCTACCGTGACGGCAAGTTCAGTAGTAGAGAATAAGAGAGTAGTGCGAAAGGTTCACGCAGTCGGACAAGATGATGGCCATGCAAACCACCCTGGAAGAGATATAAGGAGTTCGGTTTTTGGAAGACGTCTATAAGAAGGCCGAGGAAAAGGGGCATAAAACTCGCAGAATGTGAATGGCCAATCCATTTTCAGAACATCGAACTCTGCCAATCTAAAGTTTTGCTCTTAGTTCTATTTTTGTAACCCTTTTTGCCATTGGCGCAATGAAACAAGCAGACCATTTTCTTGAGAATTGTTGTATTTTTACCTCGCCAAGCAGATTTAGTGCGGTCCAAGGGGCAACTAACAATCATTTTGACGGAAAGATCAAAATTCCTTACAGGGCGGATTTTGCTCGGCAAGAGATTTGTTGATGGTTTTGATCAACTTTAGAATTCCTTGCCGGTCGGATTTTGCTCGGCAAGAGGTTTGTTGATGGTTTTGATCAACTTTGGAATTCCTTGCCGGTCGGATTTTGCTCGGCAAGAGATTTGTTGATGGTTTTGATCAACTTTGAAATTCCTTGCCGGTTGGATTTTGCTCAGCAAGAGGTTTGTTGATGATTTTATCAACTCTGGAATTCCTTGTCGGATGAATTTTACTCGGCAAGAGGTTTGTTGATGGTTTTAATCAACTTTAAAATTCCTTGCCGAGCTGATCTTGCTCACCAAGAACGGAGTCGCGGAGCGGACCTTGCTCGCCGACCTTGGAGTTCCTTGCCGAGCTGATCTTGCTCGCCAAGAGACAAGTCGCGGAGCGGACCTTGCTCACCTACCTTAGAGTTCCTTGCCGAGCTGATCTTGCTCGCCAAGAAGAAAGTCGCCGAGCTGACTTTGCTCACCGACCTTGGAGTTCCTTACCGAGCTGATCTTGCTCGCCAAGAGACAAGTCGCCGAGGGGACCTTGCTCGCCGACCTTGGAGTTCCTTGCCGAGCTGACCTTGCTCGCCAAGAAGGGAGTCGCGGAGCGGACCTTGCTCGCCGACCTTGGAGTTCCTTGCCGAGCTGACCTTGCTCGCCAGGAAGAAAGTCGCCGAGCTGACCTTGCTCGCCAAGAAGAAAGTCGCCGAGCTGACCTTGCTCGCCGACCTTGGAGTTCCTTGCCGAGCTGATCTTGCTCGCCAAGAGACAAGTCGTAGAGCGGACCTTGCTCGCCTACCTTGGAGTTCCTTGTCGACCTGATCTTGCTCGCCAAGAGAAAAGTCGTCAAGCGGACCTTGCTCTCCGACCTTAGAGTTCCTTGTCGAGCTGATCTTGCTCGCCAAGAAGGAAGTTGTGGAGCGGACCTTGCTCGCCTTCTTTGGAGTTCCTTGCCGAGCTGATCTTGCTCGCCAAGAAGCAAGTCGCGGAACGGACCTTGCTCGCCGACCTTGGAGTTCCTTGCCGAGCTGATCTTGCTCGCCAATAAGAAAGTTGCGGAGCGGACCTTGCTCGCTTGCTTTGGAGTTCCTTGCCGAGCTGATCTTACTCGCCAAGAGACAAGTCGCGGAGCGGACCTTGCTCACCTACCTTGGAGTTCCTTGCCAAGCTGATCTTGCTTGCCAAGAGACAAGTCGCGGAGCGGACCTTGCTCGCCGACCTTGGAGTTCCTTGCCGAGCTGATCTTGCTCTCCAAGAAGCAAGTCGCGGAGCGGACCTAGCTCACCTTGGAGTTCCTTGTCGAGCTGAAGTTGCTCGCCAAAAAGGAAGTCGCGAAGCGGACCTTGCTCGCCGACCTTGGAGTTCCTTGCCGAGCTAACTTTGCTTACCAAGAAGAAAGTCGCCGAGCTGACCTTGCTCGCCGACCTTGGAGTTCCTTGCCGAGCTGATCTCGCTCGCCAAGAGACAAGTCGCGGAGCGGACCTTGCTCGCCTACCTTGGAGTTCCTTGCCGAGCTGTTCTCGCTCGCCAAGAAGGAAGTTGCGGAGCGGACCTTGTTCACCTTCTTTTGAGTTCCTTGCCGAGCTGATCTTGCTCACCAAGAAGGAAGTTGCGGAGCGGACCTTGCTCGCCTTCTTTGGAGTTCCTTGTCGAGCTGATCTTACTCGCCAATAAGGAAGTTACGGAGCGAACCTTGCTCGCTTTCTTTGGAGTTCCTTGCCGAGATGATCTTGCTCGCCAAGAAGCAAGTCGCGGAGTGGACCTTGCTTGCCTTGGAGTTCCTAAACCGAGCAAAGTGGATCACCGAGCAAAAAGTATAGTCCGGCCTTGTAATGTAATCCTAGTCACGCTAGCGCAAACGGAATTAAGAGGCAACTGAGAGGGGGATTTTCGTAATCTCATCTTGGGCCGCGGTTCTGGCCGGGTTGAATGTGGTCTAAGCGTATTTGGGCCGAGCTGGGTTGGACCGAGCCGTAGTGAAGCTTGCTCGGCTGAAGTCCAGACTAGAGTTGGCCGAGAAGATCCTCTGCCACCTTGTCTTCTCTTGTTCGCTCTTTTTTTCAGTGATCGTGATCTGCCGTAGACCGGCCTAACTTGTC